CCTAAGGTCGCAGTCAGTGACTTGTGTTTGCTTGCCATTGTGGGCTCCCTGCGTACTTATGACACTTTTATGCGTGGCACATGGCGTTGAAGGTACATTTTTGCCATTTAATCTCACACCAGACCCAGTATGACGGTCACTTTGTGCCTGATGTGCGAGTCTTGACTGTGCTAGCGCACACTGCGCCTTGAAGAGCATTCACCATTGTTTGTCCTTTCTTTGCTTGTTGGTCCTTAGACGCGTGTTCCCATACCAACATCTTTACATACTTTGGGATTCACCTCATCAGACTGGCACTGTCCTTGGCATGATTTCGAATGAGACGTTTCTATCTTTTCTCCCATATTCTCCTTTTATTCTTTCGCATTCATCGCTTGCACTCACTTTTTATGTTTGTGACCATGCTCTTCAAAAATAAATGATAATTTGGTTTCAAATCCCGACCCCAACAAAGCGATATAAGTTGCAAGATAAAGGAGTAAAATATAACCCACGCTTGTTCCAGGTGCTAAATTGGAGGGTCAGGACAGTATGTTTAGCGGAAATTTTACATCACCACGCTGCTTGTCTTGGCAAAATCCCAATTGTTGTGGTTGTGGATTGGGTGGAATCCTTAAATAGTACTTGTCTTAATTATGTCTGATAGCTTGTTTTCGTAAGCAAATATGGACCTCCTTGCGGCAAACACGGGCTGCTAGGAACAAGTCGAATTTGCATTTTGGATCAGTAACAATCATGTCAAGACGCAGAAGAAAGTAACGATAGAATATTGTTCGAGTTTCAAATGGCCGCTATTGCTTCTGTTCCTATTGCAAAACACATTTTTATTTTGCGGGTCTCATTCAAGTTGAAACAAATTACCCGTTGTAGTTGTCTGGTAGGCTGTGGTTACTGACCAGTATCCAGGTGCAAGTCTCAATCAAGGACATATCTGAGTAGCGACTATTTGGACCTCTTACTCTAGATGAAGCAAAAAAAGTTAGCTGCACACTTAATAAAGATGAGTACAAGATTTCAGGAGCCTAAAATGGAATAAACGTGACATAGTTCTTGTAAGACGCGCTCCAAACAAAGAAACAATTTTGTCCAAGTAGATGTTCTGCAGTTCCTTATAATTAATCTGCATACATCTATTCAGGATCCTGTGAAATAAAAGTGGCCCCATACACAGTAGTGCTATGCTATCAGTGAGTTATTTCAAATAACCTCTGAAAATGAGAAACTAACAGAAAGTCACTTGCCAACCTGTAAGGACGACTTCCAAATCCATCGACTCTTCGTTCGGTTAGATCACCATTCAGTGTCACGCCGATTCGAGTGACCGAGGTTGACGTTGGTGGGGGTGGATCCCTGGTAGACGAAAACGGACAGACAAAGAAAAATATGCCATAGAATTTAATTAATATCTGTGCAGAAATGACTGCTTTGGGTTAACAAGCTAAAGCATTGTATCCAGACATCGACCATGTATTTGAGCAGATGGGTTCTACGCTGAGCAACCAACTCAAGGCGAAATATCTGATATTCTGCCAGCTGGAATATATCACGAACTGTGTTAGTGTCTCTACCCCAGAACTTCCTTGACTGAATTTCACCTGTATCAGAGGGAGGCCCTAAAATTCATCCCTCAGCAGCTCGCTTATATCATTGAAAGTGATTACTGCTGGTGAATTAGTTAGTAAGCGAACAGATATGTGACAAACATGCTATACACCATGCACTTTCTAAAAAAAGTGAAACTGAAACGAGTGTACGTCAGTTGATGAAGTGAATTATTAACAACTTGGTCTTTTCGTACTTGCTGAGGAGCGACAAAATGGAGTTGAACGAAGTCGTTACTAAACTGCATGACAGCTAAATCGAAGATAAATGACAACATGAAATTAAGTAATCCCGAAGCAATGGTGAACACTTTAGGACTCCGACGTCAGTCATTTTCACGTATAATGGTAATCTGAGGCAAGAAAAAACTGAAGAAACCTTCGAGAGAAATAGACACCCACAGAACAGGTTGTTGGGAGGACAACTTGCAATTAAGAGTAATGGTCGCTGGAAACAAACCTTGGGTTCTACAATGCTTCAAATACAGCTGTACTTTACTGGTGCTCAAATTACACTAGAACTTCAGAGTGTCTTCGTCCGTATGCAACTGTTCATCTTAGACTATCCACACTGTGAATAGGGTTACGCTACCACGGTTAGCGCTCAACAATCCGGAACGGCAGTACACGCGTTAGTTAAAGGGTTCAAGTATCAGACTTCATCATATTCAGAAGCATGGATTTAGGCAACGAATTTGTCTGTAAACATTTTGCCAGGCAGCCATATCCTTTGTAGTATAGGTTGTAGCACTAGCGCGTCTTAAGTAGACTTACCAAAACCAAGCTCCTAAAACCCACTTAGGAAGATTCACTCATCACCTATAGCTCCCGGTTTCATATAAAACGTGTGCTTTGTTGTGCCGAAGCAGTGGAATTTCACGCTAGACTCCGTCTCTTGTGGACTGATATGTTCGTTCTATTCTGGTTCATTTGGCCCTTCTGGAGGGTGAGTTGATTAGGGCTAGCTAAACTTTTCTTCATTGTTTTCCGTTTATTGTTCAATTCTGTGAATGCATTGAGATAATTGAAATCCGTCCCCTTCGGACCACTTGGTTTGCTGGAACACGGTGTGACTGTACCCCGTTGCAGAAGCCTTCTCCATTTATTCAGCTGTTGCAATCCACCAGAACACTCTGTTATTCCCTGGACTCGCCACTATTCGGCGATTTACCGGTCTGTGTCGTTTGTTGGTGTTCTGAATTCAAGTAGGGATGTTAATAGTGAACCAGCGGTTGTTGGAGTGCACAATCAACCTCGGGCAGATGCTATCAAAGGCTGAGAGCATGATATGCTTCACCTTTCTCTAGTTATTATCATGATCACCAATTTATCTGTCTACTTATGGGGGTTACTCAGCCAACTCAACTCGATATTGCTGAGATACAGAAACACCTGGTGGGCAGTGAACTGATTGGCTTTGCATTAACTGACGTGTTCCATCAGTAAAGCTAGTAGACACACGTGCCAACACAATATCGTGATCAGGGTGAAATGGTGTACTTAAAAGTGAACGAAAATCTGGTATCCAAGCTCTCCAACGGTAGCTGCATTCTCTATGGTCTACCTAAATACACGACTGTTTTCAGCTGATTGCCCCGTTTCATACAGTGTGGGAGCTTGTGATGAAAAGTTCTGCAGGCTAGAAACAAATGTCGTTCAGCACATAATTGGATAAGTCGCTCTCCACTACCTGCGCGGTGAGCGTCAGCGCTGAGTCGGCCGACAGGTTAGGCCTCATCAAGACTCAGTCGGCCAACTTGAGCATTCACATCACTTGCCAAAAACATGATATATTTGGGTCTCACTGACCAAAGTAACCGTGACTTATCTGAATAGGAGTCCTCTTTATCAGCCCTAGAGATACCGTCTTTCGGGGCTTATGGCCGGAAGGTCCGTGGTACGCACCCGTCCTCTACCTTCCAACTTCCCCTGTACAGTTTTAGGCAACTCGGCAGTACCTCAGCCCTCGTGCTTCACTCGGGTGGCATGGCAGCTAGGCACCAAAGGGGTGCTACAGCTGGAAGATTACTATTATTATTTATTTTAAAAGAGCATAGATTACCTTGGCAAGGGGGAATTGATCTTGGTTAAAACAGTCCATCAAAACCCGCAAAGGTGACTAATAACTGGAATCTAGACCAGCAAAGCGCATTCAGCCCTTCATGTAAGCGCAACTCTCACGCCATGGACACCACGAACCATTGAATGGAAATCACTAGAAACGCGAATAGCAAGGAATATGTAGTCGTCTCTAGGGGCTTGATATGTATAACCGAAGGGATGTTCTGTGTGCGCGTTTTAAAGACACACACACGACCAGAAGAGAGGAAAATGCTGAGGTAGACCCACCTGTTGCCCGATTCGACACAGAGCATGGATGTTGAAAGCAACAGCATGGAAGAGATCCCTTGAAGTTAAACAGGGTTTATTTTTGTTCATTTTAGTGAGGGAAATCTTAGATACAGATTAACGATCAGGGGATTGACAATTAAATGAGTCAGAATGTGAGAACGTGTGGGAAGAGCATGTAAATTATGATATGTAGGCGAAACGATGCTTTCAGGCTTCCGAGCCGAATAAAAGGGTTTGACTAAGGTGTCACCCCTGAGACTTCGCCACCAACATGGCTGTTGTAGGATGATTCTCTTTAGTTGGGAGCACTTGCTCTGGCTTATGACTCAACTTTGAAACTGTAAGACGGCGGTTTTAGAGATTTCATGACGGACCATTCCCGGAGCCTGTGATTACAGTGAATCGATTCACTAGCATGGTTCTCATGGGTGTGGGAGGTTGTCCTGGCCCGAAGGGTGCAGGGAGTAAATCAATTTACAGCTAAAGTTATAACTATTTCACTCCTGATAGGGCCTTTTGATAGGCAACAAACTGTTTCGCCTGAAAAGTACTTTGACTTTACTGAGTAATGTACCGCTTGCTGGGCAATTGGAATGTGCGGTTTTTAGGACTGGCCTTTTCTAACCTATCCTTCCTCAAAAGAAGAGCAGCATAGCTTCTTTCCTTATTATGGATATGCCTATAGCTACCCGCTCCCATCCTCAAACTCTCAAAGCAGAATGTAGTAGGACTTTAATTCCGTACCACCTTGTTATGCATTTCTTGAAGTAGGAGGACTAGCGGACCTTTATCGGGCTGCTGCCTGTTGGCTTTCTGGCACAGTAGGACCTTTAGGAACTCGGTTTCACTCAGGACCATTACACCACAGTAGCGCGATCACGCCGCAACAAGATCGTAGGTAAGTGGCGACTGACTCAGATGAACTGCGCCCTGTAGTTTTCAAAGATGGTGAGCAGTCTTGTAGTCCTATTACAGGAAACTGGAAGCGAACACGGAAAAGGAGTAGAATTTAGGGTTTTAACCATAAACTCTGTCTTCCTACTTCAGCCCTGTTATTGAAACCTACTGATATTCCCAGCATGTTCCTAAAACCTCAGGAATCAGAATGTTCCCTGAGCTATTGCTCATAGACAGTGACTATGCAGATCATACTTTTATGCTTCGTTCATATGCCTAAAGGCTGTCATCTATTTAGAATAGCCTGAACAATTCTACCGCACGGTTTGTTAGGCACCTTGTGCCTGCAAATTTTCAAGGCAGAGCTATGAGAGTGGGTAAGACAAAACCTAAACATGAGGCCTGTAGAATCGCCAGTCGACACGTGGGTAAGCTCACCCACGAAGTGGCTGCACACAGAATCATTCCCCAGACTGAAAAATCTAGACTTAATTTTTAAACATATGCCGTAAAGTTGGGGTAACTTATCGTGGTGTGGTGGTTTGCATCCTTCTATGACCAACTAAACTATACTGTGGGTTTGCCTCTAACACCAGCGGAGTTTTTCATACCAGGTTGGTGGTAAGTGTGTAGATATTTGGCGAGGACAGTTTTCTGATCTTCCAGGTTGGAAGTTGGAAAAGGCAGGAGACTTGTTGCTAAAGAAGCTTGCACTGTTCTGGTAGTATGAAGGCACTGAAACTATCCCTTCACCCCCATACTTGACTGTTTGCGACACACAGGGGTGACTGATCTGACATTGACTGTCCACCTTCGGATACGTGTGGCACTGTGTTCAGGTCGAAGGCTTTGGTTTGGGACCCTACTCGTCCTCCTGTTAGGATGTTGGTGCCTTGAGAGTATTTCAGCCGGTGTACAACCATAGACGTCACAACTATTGTCATACTACATCAGCTGCCACGTTGTGTCACCAAACAGGTAACCTTATTTGATGCATACAGCAGGGCGGGTAAACAAAGCATGCTGATGACCCCCTACTGTACCTCCACGCATTCCTTCTTCTACACTAATCCACCCCAATTCACATACTCTCTCTGTAAGTCGCCGGAGTAGGACTTAATTTTTTCACAGTGCATCAAGCTGCAAACTCAAATAGACCCTAATGCAATCACCCGCCGATTGCGAGGATCAATTACTGCCCACCGCTCCCTCTGAAATAGCTGAGTGGACTCCATACAGTTTTTTTGCTACTTTTCAGCAGACCTTTCAGGCCTACTCAAAACAAACACATTTATGGCCAATAAAATCCTCTTAGACTTCGGAATCAAGCAATTGTACACAATCTGCCTCCCCAAAGCATACATTCTGATCCGGTATAGGATAATAACCCTCACTGAAGCAACTTATCCAAAGTTACATGGGGTGACGACAATTCTACCTGCGGCATCACCTAGCCGGCCATTTCCAAGCATTAGATCCGTCGCAAGGCTATGATCATTGGCAATGTTGTCCTGGTCACAACCACAAAAAAGCTCAACGCATTATTAGACTCCGGACGAAGCCAAGTGTTCGGGTGGACCATGACGCTTGATTTATCTAGCGTCTAGTAAAGTCACTTTTTGGAACTCATTTGTCAATCTGTCATAGTGGCGTAAAAGGGCATACAGCTGATTTGTGTGCACCAAGCTAGACTAGAGTTGTGCTGGTTGCGAGACGCTGCTCTTATGGACAGAGGGTGTGAGACGTCTTGAAGTTTCTGACCACTAATTTCTCAGAAGCGTTATCGGTGCCAGATGGCACCAATGGATTCGTGACGTGGTAGTGGGAAAAGTGGTAATTAGTTGTGAAACAGGCACTACCGCTGCAAAACTCATCCAGCGGCATCAACTGTCAGCTCGGCCGTGCCCTGTGCATGATCGTCAAACTGGGCGAATATTGTTCTCCGTACGTTCTTCATAATTGAGCAAACTGGGATATGCGCAACCTGTGACTGGACAAAGCAATTTAAAGGGGGTTACAAAGAGTTTGAGTGTAGTCCGTACACCAGGAGAGAGTCCTTGTCATTCTCCCACTGTTTTTTGAAGACGATGTTATAAATGTGGTTAATTAATGTCGGTGTCAGTTGCGCTGTCATTTTTTCCCGTACTTCATAATTGAGCATCTGGAATTTTAGACACCGGAAAATTTTTGGAAGACAAGCGTCAGTCCTCTTCCTCATCAACACTTTTTCGCTTTCTTTTACTTTAAGGCTTTAAACACTGGCATATAAAATTCCGAGCAGCGTAGTATCAAAGTCACAACTAACGTTTCTGCCACTTGTAATGAGACTGGTAATGGTACTTATGATCAGATGATGATGAAACCCCGACGCCTATTTTTCGGGCTCGATATCAGTCTACCTGCTACCGGGGGGCTCGCAGCTCGGTATTGCGGTCCGCACTAGTTACTTGATTAGAGAGGCGGATCTTAAAATCTGAGTTTGCGCAGTTATGTGCTCTGCCTAACCGTCGTTGTTTGAAAGTCACTGGTAAGGTCTACTAAGGATTAGCATTCCTGACGGACATCAGATGGAGTTCTGGAGAAGAAACTCCCCAAATAATGAAAAATTTACTCGTGCCTTATATCTTGTGCTAGTTAGGAAAGCATATTCCTCACGTCAGACGACCGCCTAGTTCGCAGTTTCCTTGTGCAGCTCTGCTCTGAGGAGGAAGTCACAAGAGCCAGCATTTCATGGCGCGGCAGCAAAAAACCAAATTATTAGTCTCTATATATGCTCAGTCGGATTGACGACTGCTGCTTTGCGGGAGGGGGACACATGGACTCGGCTTTTCAGTGGTTAGTAACTCCAATGGATGTGCTAAATCGCCCAGTTAGTGTCGCTCACAAATTAAATTTCATAACCGTTTGATTTCCGATTTCTCCAAACATCCAAAACGACTGGACATCAACCAACCGATTATGCTAGTTCCCCCAATGTCTAGCTTCAACTCCTGTGCACTCTCACATTCCGGTGACAGTAACTATGCAGGATGGAAGCAAAGCATTCTCAGTGAATGGTATATGAGCAGCAAACTTTGCTAATAAACCCATATTTTGACTGAAATATTATAAAGTGATGTTTTTTCTATCTTAAAGGCCGCTGTGAGCGGATTTTCCTGATGACTGGTACCGTAGCCATCTCTATATGTGTAAAAATTTGTGGATCATTCTTGCACTCACTCTAGAAATACTCCAAAGACACGCTACAGGTTTTTCGATGAATGGTTTCGCTTGAACAAAACATGTGGTCCAGTTTTTATCGTTGTGGCCGACAGCGTGATGAAACATATGTATAGCTCAAAGAATGATAAACCATCATTGGTGTTTCATCCTAGTGTTGTGATTACAACACTTCAAGCATTGTGAACAGTTAACTGTTCACAATGCTGCTGAAACGTACCTTAGGTAGCTTGGATAAAAATACCGTGGGAGCATTTCTGCTTCTCGAAAAAACGACCTCGTTGCCGCTGCAAAGACCTTGTCGGCAGCCTGCGAAAACTGTTCAAAAATATCACGTGGACCCTGAAGTGAGCATCGCTCATGCAGATGGTTCGAAGCTCGCCCTGTGCTGCAGGAACGTTGGGACGAACTAGGTGGAAATCTTGGCTCAAAAAATGGTGTTTGAAAGAAGGAAGATATAAAATCTTCTCCAAACATTTTCAACAGAATGTCCTGTTGATTATTCGATTTGTTGCGGTGTTATGTGGTTCCGTTGGTATGTTGTCGACAGATTTAAACCAAGGAAATTTTTACATAAACTTTCAGCAGTTGGGAGCATTCACCCACTATATTGAAGCCGCACAATAAACTCGTCGTTTTTCTAACATTTGTTCAGTCGTACTCAAGGTCTGCTTTGAGCGCGGAATTCATAATTGGATTGTGTAACGCAATTGAAACCTGACTGTTCCCGCTTATACACGTTTAACATATGACCTTACGTGTGTGCCTCTCCCTCTCTCTCTCACTTGCACGTATATCGGACGAGTGACCACGAGCGCCGGACAGGAAGGAGTAACCTGCTGGTACACCCCCTGATTGACCTTCACTTGACCTGTGGTTCCGGTTTCGGTGTCGAATATACGTGTGTTAGTGACGGGTTGTTCTGCTTCCCTACCCGTGCGTCGTGCTTGCTGTACCTATACGTGCTGCTGTGTCTGAGTTAACCCGGTGTATTCGATGCCCTATAGCGTATTGCGTCGAGTCACCCACGCCACAATTGGCTGCCGCGACCGAGCATGAGGTCTCCGTGTAGACGATGGAAAATTTTGTGCAACTGTTGGATTCCGCACCTTTTTGGTTTGCTATATTTACTATAGAAATAGAACATTAGCATTAATTGTGTTGTTTTTTTCCGCGCAGACTCAAAGTGGTGTAGCCATTCATGACCTGTGAATAAAAGTGTTTGCAACGGGTGTCCCATCAGCAGAGTCAGTGAACTCGACGCAGCTGTAATAATTTTGGCTGTATCGGGTGTACGAGAAGGTTCTATCTTCACCGTTATTCCGAATCCTTGATTGTACTTTGGGAAGAATTAGTGGGTTTGCGGACAGCGCGAGCCGACAATGCAACAGGGTTTCCAGTGTCTCTTCCTCCTGGCACAAATTCAGCTGTTTGAGTTCTGAGAGTAAGTAAATAGTAGGAACCAGGTGAAATGCGGGCAATTTTTCAGAATGACAGTCGTGGTACCGTCATTGCGATCCTCGGTCAGCCCCATACACGCACATCCTTGGTGAGTCAGTCGTTCAGATCTCGTGCCATCTGATATGTTCTCCATAGGACCTGAAGTGACCTTGTACTTTTGGATCCTCACCCATGCCACCTCGGGTGTGGTGAAGTCTACTTCAATAATGTTTAATGTTTACGTCACTTTCCCTTTTCTAGGAAACTCCCATTAATCACAAACCCCACCAGTCACGCCTTTATTCCGACTGTAATACTATGATCATGCCCGACGGTATGCTACCCAATAGTTGGGAATAAATATTATTGTTATTATTAGTATTGTTCAACAGTGGAATCGGAATCGTGACAACTTGAGATCAGCATGGAACAAGATCATTGTTGGGTCCACTGAGGGCATTTCACCGTGTTATTTGGATGAGGTTATCAGATATCCGTATCTGGATTCGGGGCTAAAAATTGTAAGTCTCAAAAATGTCTGCTGGGGGCACTGCGGTATGAGTTAGACCATTGACCTGAAATAGCAGGCAGCTAAGGGTGATCGAAGTTTGTAACTGTCGTAGTGAGGCGATACCGCATGATTTCAAAAAAGCCAATCGACATTCACTTGCAGATAATAGCACATGACCCAATGCAGTCGATGCGATGGGGTAAGGTCATGTGTGAATTTTGGGGATTCAGTGGTGCATCATCGGAGTTATAGGTAGCTGTGCGTAAGATTATCATTTATTCGAGATTTCTAAGGCAGATGGTAGTAAAAATTCATCGAAAACAGTTTTTGGAATGGTTATGTAACGTCCATTCACGAAATGGATGAAGGAGTTGTTGCGGAAGATAAATGAGATGGTACACTGAACAGTGGCATAGCGGCCTGGAATATGTATTGGCTTCTATTATTACCTGTTTGGTGGTGAGACTAACCAATTAACTCCGAATGCTGAGGGAGGCTTGCGAAATCAATGGTTTCATGAATTAAGAGAGAAGAGAAGGGAGAAGAAATTCAAGTGCATGGTCGTGTCGCACACTTGGAAGGTGAGGTGCATCACAACCTACGGGAAAGCTTAGAGGCTATACAAATCGAATGGTTTAGGAGGCGTAATACCACGCATATTTACTGAGTGTCTGTTAACTTACATATGAGTTGGCTTTTTTCACTCAGTCATGCACCAAAAACGTAGAACATCTGGACGATATCTTTGTTGTTACCGTACACCACAACCAGACCAAGCTCAGACCAGCGGAGCAGACGTTTGACAAAAAACTGTTTTTTATTTTAATTTCCCCCTCAGTGCCTATAGTGGAGTATGAGGCCCGGAAAGAGGTAAAAGTCTTTAGGGGGAAGGGATGCATACGAGAGGATGGTTGTCGACCTTCTTCCCGTTTGCACTGTCGGTGACAAGATGTGTGGAAAGGCCGTTCATTGCACGGAAAGAGTTGGTTAATGTTTAAGACCGGGTAGCGACCGGAAAGGCCGATCAGGTAGAGAAACTGCGGATGAACCGGCAAGGTGCATTTGAGGATGAAGTACAGGGAGCCATTCTCTATTGATCGCTTAGAGAACAAATACGAGAATGATAGATTTTTGGTGATGCGTGTTACTCGGATGTGTGTTGGGGGGTAAGTCTTAGAGTATCAAGTCAGACCATCACCATAATGAGTAACAAATCGTATCAGGGCTGGTCGTCTTAAGTACATATGTGTTTAGGTAACTCACACAGGGATACGGGAGTGAGAACGTGCGGTATTACTTCGGCACATAAGATAAGCTGGATGAGGCCAAAATCCACATGAGGGAGACAGAGGAAAGACCTAGGACAACCTGAAAGAGTGAGCGGCCTTCAACGTGTTATCAGTGTCTGCGATGTACAAGCTTTTTGGATACTACCGAATGTTGAATAACACAATCGGGTCGTTTTCCAAACAGAAGCAAGGAAGCAAATAGCTCTGTCAAGCAACCAACAGCCTGGTTGATGATAATGGTATGGGAAGGTATGGTTTCATGTTACCGTGCGAATGAAGGAACTGTAGTTTCTAGTGAATAGAAGAGCAATTGTGTCGAGAAGAAATGGAATGGAGGAAGCCTTTGCCTGTGTAAAAGGAGCAGGCTTGAAGCCAGAAGCCCGTCCACCCATGAGTTCCTTTCTACGGCTACATTCATGTGCGCACGCTTCGAAGGCTCACGAGATCCTTAAATCTAAGAGGCAAGTCTCCACCTCTTGATTTTTGAATGCTCTCCATGCACTTCTTAGCTTTAACCCTGCTCGGTCCAACATGAGATTACACGTAAATTTTCTAGTGTCTTCAGTGGCACTCATTGAGCTCTCGTCGGTCGTTGGATGAGGCCACCCACATGGTTGAGGCCCTCGTGAATAATAATAATAATAATAAATATAGTCAGTCAAGTTGTAACAAGTAGAAAATGTAGGCGATATTGCACGTAGTTATCAGGATGAGCAGCAAGTGTTGAAACTATTTGGTTGAAACTAATTTCCGGTTATGTTCCGGGCTTCATGAAATAACCCATCTGAGGAAGGTCATATTTTTCAGTGTAGAAGATATCGTGTCTGAAAGCCGGAAATTTATATCCAGATATTTCAAAACGCTGCATCGCTCCGTTTCCAGTCACGTATAAGTGAGAATAGGGATCATACACAGGGACGCATACTCGCATGAGTACTGCACAATGTATTAAATTGTTTTTTATTTTTGCGGTGCGCTGCAGAAAAACAGCGTTTTACCCGTGTCCGCTGAAGAACTCATATAATTAGTTACACCTGATGAGTAAACACAAACAATGTTCTACCAAACACCTGGGTGGAACTTACAAAGGACATTATGTGCGTGCTACAATCAGTTTGAAAAGAAACGTGTAGACTTAAATTTTGCCATATGTGACTTCGTACTTTGCCTCATAACTTGGCAATCGAATACGACACGGCGGCGGTCGGTGGTCGTAAAAGTTCGCTAGCTCATACAAAGTGCTGGAGGCAACATGACGCTAAAACGCTTGACCTTATTTGCTTTACTCCCGGCAAGATTTTCAACTTGAAAACTCACGAAGAAATTTATTTCAATTTATTTTTAGTTAGCTCCTTACTATTAGGTGCGTGAATCGAAGGTGAAGAAGCCGTTGGCCAATCTTTGTTCAAGGAGGACGTACGTTAGCGGTAGGTCTGATCGGAGGCGATGCTTCTCCACAGGCGAGACGTCAAGCATCGCGAGAAGCATTTCTTACCAAGCAGTTTTATGGCAAGCAAAATTTCGTGGCATTTCGTGGGGCACAATCGATGAATTTCACGTCTTTCTTGTGTCCTGAGTAAGCAACTTGGTTGCAGTAAACAAGCAGCAGCCTTACGCAGGCCCTGTTGAGTATTTGGTAGTTAATGGTGGTAATAAGGGAGAAGGTCCACGGAAGGATTCGTAGAACGACGAATGTATTCTGAGCCAATTTTTCGTAGTGCAGTGAGAAGGATATGCTTGAAGAAGAGAAAACACCTAAAATGGTTTTGTATCTATCTCCGTAATGACTTTTGGTCCATTCTCACCACGCATAATGGAGACGGCGGCAAACTCTCTTGCGAATAACATATGGCCGTATTTTCTTCACTCAGGGGAAAGCGTCAGTCTAAAGACCACTGCTGTGCGGCGTCTGTGTCCATCAGGAGGAGCTTGCAAAAAAATCTGGAAGGTTGTTGACGTATATTAGAAGCAGCAACGGTCCAAAAACGGATCTTTAGGGAAATTCAACGAAGGTCGACGCTGTCGAAGAGTAGGTCGAGTCTACGTTTACTTGAAATTAAGCCTTGATCCAATGTAAGATTTTTCCTTGAATTCCGATGGACTTGAGTTTGTGAAGCAGAGGGACATGTGGGACCTTACCAAGTGCTTTTGAAAAGTCGAAAAACATGGTAGCCGATATGAGTCCTTCGTCCTTGGCTTGGGTTAAGCTGTCCCTAACCACGAGCATATTTTCACGCAAGAACGGTTTGGGAAAAATCCGTATTGAGCTGGAGATATCAAATTCTTGGAAGTAAGGTGGTCCAGGATAGCTTGCTTCAGAATGCGTTCCATCAGCTTGCAAGCACACCAGTGAGGCTTATAGACCTCACCGGGCTACCAGGCGACAGTCGGTCACTAGTTTTGTAGTTTGGCGTGACAGTTGCCTCTCTTCAAGAAGAGGAGAAGTGGCCGTCGTCAGGCAACTGAACGACAAGCAGGTTAAAATGGTTTGCCAGTGTGAACAATGTTTCCTTTAGGATTCTTGGACGGGACTTGCCTGGCCTCAACGCGCGAAACGGTTGATCTTGCACAAGAGGTGACGACTGCTCTCCTCAGTGAAGAACAAGTCGGTCGAAGGCCGTTTTTAATTACGCCCCTACAAGATTAGTTGTAACAAGGATGCTGGAGCTGAATGTAGACCTGCATATTATTCACTGTATCCCTCAGATACCAATATTGGGTAACTCCTCGGTTCATCGTTCCTGTCCATCAAGGAGGACGTGGTTGGCTAATTCCTGCAATAGTGTCTCGTATATATATATATAAAGCACATTTCCGTTTTTCTCGGCGTGATCTAGAATGGTGGCTATTTTTCTTGTTGCATTAGCGAACTTCTGATTTACAGCGTTTCCGCACTTGACAGAACACCAGCCTATCTTCTGTGTCTCCTGTAGTCAACATTTTGAAAAGTAGTTGAGACCTCTTTTGCAGGGGACTCCAAATCCTTCAGGTGGCTTGCGGTTCATCTGACAGCCTGACGGGTTTTTGGAACGAACATTGACCCAGAATCGTGGACTTTCTGGGCAATGATCCTATATATGTCTCCCACTGAGGCTGGTCCCAGTTTAAATTGATCAAGAAAGATGCTCATCTTGAGAGGTTGCACGGCGGATGTTTCGAATCCATGTTTGAGTTTCGGGATTTCCGACCCAGTTATGGACGACATCGGAGATCAGCACAATGTGGTCACTACTTTTAAGTGAAAACGGTAGCTAGTATTTGATCGATCATGTTCTTCGTTGGTGATGACCAAATCCAGGAGGGCTAGCAGGGAACTGCAAGTTTTCTGCTGGGTTCTTCGACAGGTTGAGTCTACGCGCATTGTTGAACGACTCTGGTCAGCGCCGGTGAAAAACGATCGCTACATCTGACACGCTGGAGCTTGATCCAGGGGGTATTCGGAGCGTCAAGATCGCCTGTCAGCAAGCGATGTTAACTTGTTACCCGGAGGAGAGTTGCTCAAGCGTTTGTATGGGGAAATGTTCAGCTTCCGGAAAACTCGGGGGCAACGGTAGACCACACCAGGAAGGATAAAATTGGACCCATGCAGCGTGATTAGGATACACCTTACATTGCAAACAAAAACAGGATGGCATCAGGACAACTGGGATGGGCAGGGCCACATGTCATCACAAAACAACCCTTACAACCCTGTAGTTTTGAATCAGCTCAAAAAAGGAGTAGCAATCTATCAAGATTTCCCCGTCGGAGACACGTCTCTTTGCGCGCGATACTGGACAGATCTATTAAGACAACTTAACTGTTCAATATCTCAGAATTTGATTGAAAGACTGGGGCAGTTCGTACGCGCACTTCAACACAGTATACGCTGCCCCCGAAGGTGAGGAGCCGAGAGGTTTGTATTCAGATAGGTTATTAGTGCACAGGTGGTGACAGCCATAATACAAATCAGAAGGTGAATGTGCACTAGCAGAACTTTTAACATGGTTGTGACACGTATAAAAATGAATACAATGCGAAATTGGAGCAAGTCAAAAAGGAACTCATCGTATGTGCGAATTCCTTGGTGAAAGTCCGGACGTCGGTAACGTGTTTTCTCCGCAGTTTGGCTGCTACACGTGTTCCATGATTGTCCGTGGACTTGGAGTGCTTGAGCTGACTCCTTGTTCCCTGCGCGCGCGAGTCTGTGTCCTGACTGGGTTCGGTTTCCCTTTATGTGCGTCCCAGTGCGTATACATGGGCGCGTCGGCACATTGGTGGCTGCTACGCTGACTAGGCGGTGCAGACAATCGATGTCCGATGAGTCAGCTTAATTCGACGTGTTTGTGCGTATGAAAAAAGACAAGCCTCGCGATCCAGTGAGCAACTGTGAGTTGAACAGTCAAGTATGTGAGTGACCGGGTAGCCACAATGTAAGCATATTTAATTGCTGTACATCGGGTTCGAGTCCATGGCTACAAAGTAGCCCCTGCGTTATACTTGATGGTTTTAAGGCCTGTTTTTCATTTGTAGTTCGCACGGAGCCCGGTTTCCGTAGGCATTTAAACCTTTTTCCATCTGTCGGCTAAAACGCTAACCGCTGCTTGTTTTAGTTTTTCAGTACCGCTTTTCGGGAGACTAGATTTGTTATATTTAAACTATTTGGGGAAACATGCGTCTGTTTGGTTTATTGAGCATTTTGGTGCAGTTTGATTGATAAAGTATACAGGCTCAGAGGATCGAGTGACAACACCAGGAATCGTTACGTTCGATGTTCATCCCGTGAACATCGTTTATGCAGAGGACTGTATCTTGAAGCACGTCACCAGTTTATGATTCGACGAACCCCATGGGGTTTGTCTGACTGCGGTCGTCTTTCTTTAAAGGTTGTGGTTGCTCCTGAGTTGCCCGCGAACAGTGTGGCCAAAAGGATGTATACAGTATCCTCTGGTTTACTGTCAACAGGCTTGTGGATATGGTTGTCGAGGTCCTGTGTGACGACTGTGTCAACAAACGAAGAGGCCACACTTGACGGAGTGTAGCTGAAGATCGGCAGTTTCGTATTCCCAGTGGTGGTAAAGTTCTCACAGCATGCCTCGGTGCTTAGGTCGACACTTGTAGTTGATTTGTCGGTAGTTTTTGCCACTTGTATCAGTGACTCAGTCCAGCTCATAACTTGTGACTTGGGTGTGGAGTTCACAGCTGCGCTTTCATCGTCTTTACGTAAACAAACCATGTTGGCACCACATACTTCGGGCAATGTATCCTCTTCTTGAGCGTCACCAACTCTGTTAGAGTTCCTGCGTTGATTGTGTGGAAGCTGCAGTTCGAAGTCGCGGCCATTTGGGCGGCGTGCTTTCAGGAGCACAAACGGTCATAACTACCATCGGTTTGACCAAAAACTTGGGGTCGGCTGAACTGGCACCAAGCGGGACTGTTTCGCACTCCTGCCACAGGACTGCTCTGGCCCAGCTTTTGCGCCGTCAGAAGGCGATCCCAAGGTATACGCCTTATCATTGGGTAGGGCTCTTGAATCCTGACGGTCCGCCCAAAGGTGTTCTGTACGGCAGATGGAGAGGAAAGAGCGACCAAAAGCCCAAGTGCTCGCTTACTTCACTTCTGATGTAACCAATGCGCCTCCAGTGATTCGTGATCGGGCTTTTTGAGGACGCTACCAGAGAACGACTCTGCCTGCATCATTTGCATAGTTTCTCTGGATAGGGATCACCGGATGATCAGCCTGCTCTCCCTCATGCGTCTGTACAATGAGTATTCCTTGGAAGTCGTTACTGCCGCATCAGAGATCATGTTGACCATATCGGCAGCCAGCTGGCCAGAACTGGATAGCGCACGCTAGTCACTTAGCGAAAAAGTTGTTTATCAGCTTTAATCCATGTCCCTGTGCTTATTGTATTTTTTTTCCGGGGCTTTAGGAAGAAAAGCCAGTTCTGCGTCAAGCACTATGGTTAATTTAATCCATGTCCCTGGCTTATTGTATTTTTTTTCCGGGGCTTTAGGAAGAAAAGCCAGTTCTGCGTCAAGCACTATGGTTAAAGTGAAACATTCACATTGATCTTTCAGACTTAGTATTGGCTCTATTTTGGGTTATGGACTGTTTAAGGTGGACGTAGATGACGCAGACGAATAGGCCTGGAGGGTTGGATGAATAAACATCTGGTCATCCCGTAAACTTGTGCATTTAATAGACCACCAGGTCTTGCGGTTTTGGAATTGCGCACCATGTCTTACAATCGATAGTGTGGTGATCTGGCTACCCAACAAGTTCCTTTACCATGTGTGTGGCAAACAAACAAAAATAACAACGCTAGATTGGGTATACAGTAGTAAAGAAGTCAGATGGAACGGACTAACTAAAAGCTGTTCTCTTTAAAATAATTCGTCCTTGGCCCAGGTCAGCGAATAAACACTAATCCAGTTATGGTGGTCCAGGAATCTTCTTCTGAACAGTGACCACATACAATACATTCCGAAATTATTCTGAAATTCTTTGATATTAGAGTTAGCACATGAGACTCGCGAATGACCGCGGCAAGCGCGACCGAAATCAGAAGAGAGAGTCGAAGCACATGAGCATGATTGTATTGCGTTAAATTGTACAAGTGCGTGTTTTCGTAGTTTTTTGTATTCAAACAAAAAAGATAATGCAACTGACGTAATACGTAAACTAAATGTACAAAACACCAAAATGGACAAACATTTTGCTCACACGTCCATCAACAACCGTAAAGAGCAGTCTGAGTTAATTTGGGTCATATTTAGCCTGGATGCACCGCAGGAAATGAGTGAAAACTGTCAGAGTTTATCAAGCGAAAAATGTGGTAGAGTGGAAATAATTCAATAAATGACACGGGTGAACTCTGTCACTAGATTGAACAGCGAAAGAATTCTCTCACAAATTTGCACAAGGGAAAAACAGAACCGATTCCGAACGTACCGCATTGGCAGCGGTAGATGATGGTGATGCGGTGGACATAAAAAGCTTTTGCAGAAGTGCGATTAACCGGATTCGTCAGATGCCTCTTGGCTTTAAGCATGATCTCAATGTTTATCGAGTGTGGCACTGGAGGAGTGGAAGATAACTCCCATTTGAAGCGATAATGCAATGATACACACCAGGTAATGAGCAGAGTCTCTGTAAGCAAACCCTTCGCTTTCGCTTCAGCGATTGGTAAAGCACGCGATAACCGGGAGGCAAATTTAATTTGAAAAGTCTAAATGAGCGTCATAATTCGTTCGAAGATAACTGTTAAACGCCACATTCGTGGTATGAATACCATAAGTGTATGAGCTATGGACGCCGTGCAGTACTTGCAAAATAGAATCGAATTCTCAAGCACAACGACGTGCTTCCTGTGAATCAACGGTAAACAGACGTAATTTTCCTCGTGTTCTGAACACTCATGAGTAACGTGACCCACGCCCGTTTGTTAAGGCGCCGTTTGCTTCCCTGCTGCTCGTTTCTTTCCTGTTTCGTTCCCACTTATGGTCTGCTTCTTCTTCACTAATTGATGTCAATATATTGCTGCCCGTCTGTCATCACTTACAAGTTCCTCTCAGTTGTGTTTTTTGTCGAGCGTCCACTCAGCTGGAATAGCAGACCGACCGGGTATCGGATCCGGGGCTTGCAAACGGTAGACTAAGTCGCTGTCCAGTACACCAACCTGATATCTAGAAGCGTCCATTTTTTGCATTACCCATGTACCGCACCTGCCTTATAGCCTTTGGCGAAATTTTTCTTATACAAACCAAACCGCGCAACTTGACCTGTCATGTGACACGAGCTGCTGCGTCGCGCCGCAAACAGAAAGACATTCATTTACATTTCAAACGTGCTAATTTCCTGCGCCGTTATCCCTCTATACGGCCAACTTTGACTGTCAGACTGTCCACTTATGTATGTTTGTACATTGTTTGATGCTTACCTGTTGCTGATTCTAGAACTCCCAGCCGCCTCGGTGACTAGTTTCCACTCCTGCTGATTGCGTCATGATTGGTTGTACGATTGCTTAATTCACGACGTTTACTAACACATTTGTCTGTGGAACCAGTTCCTGTCAGTACTCAATATACAATCCGCCGCCCACGTCTGCCAGCTTCTAATGTGAACTGGCTACGAACTGCGTATAATCTAATAGCCGCAATCGTCCTGTGATTTCCATAACCTTTCGGATCGTACAGACGTCATCGAGGCTGCTACTCCATAGTGAGTAAGTTCTATGTCCAACAAACTGTTCTACAATTTGCATACATAGACCATTTGTTTAAAATAACAATTCTTCAAGATTATTTACCACAACCGACCGTGAAAACGGTACCTACTTATATAAGTCACCGTGATTTGCGGTATAACGTGAATCGTTTACATTCGATGAAATTTGCAGATAGGTCTGCAGCGGAAAAAAATCAGTGAACTTTCCGGAATCTACGCTGTGCCTGTGAAGGAAAAATATGTCAAAATTGTTTACTACTTATAAGTGCTTGACTTGATGAAAACCGGGTTGTGTTTCAAGACCTCGATGAGTGTTGTTCCGAGATATCCCCGCGGTAGATACAGTCATTAGTTTTTAAAAACTGGTTAAAAGTTGGAAGACTTACAGATGTTGAGCTCCTGTGCACGTAAGTCAAGTTTGGTGGTGAAATGAGCGGAGTTCTCAACTGTAACTGGCAAAACATGACAGAATGATCATACTGTCAATCATAGTGGCCGCTGAACGAACCTAGCTGACTCGCACGATCATCGTGTGAGTGCAAGTCTACAACGCCCAATCGGCTAGCCACGTCGACTAACTACGCTCTCCGAAGCTTAGTTGAATTGCAGAGGATTTCTAGCGTCTGCCACCGTAATTGTCATCAAGCCCGACTCCACAAGCGTGGATGTATTTTCTTCCTCCGGCCTTAAGCTTTTGTACCCAGCCTACTTATTCCTAGTTCCTCAATCCTGGTCCCAATTCTGAGTAACTCTGTCAGCTCTATTTAATGTCTGGTGCCTTGCTTTGACTGGATTTAACTAACGTCAGCCAAATTGAAGCCTAAGCTCCTGTGCTGAACAACTCTGTATCCCCTGAACACGCGCAGCGCACGCACATCAAATGGTTGGTCTGAAGATGCGCTTTGAGTGAAATACTTGTTTGACCCCACAGCCCACTCATCCATACACGCATAACACCGGTGCGACTCTACTTGACAAGGCGGTTCACACCAATGCTTCGTCCCCGTTTAGCGATAGTACATAGGCTCTGAACATCTCTATTCTACTCCCACATCACAAAAATTGATTGGTTTTTATTTTGCTTCCGCGACTTGCCTCTCCCAGTGGCTGTTTGCTGTTTGCTTGCTCAAAATGACTGAGTTGTTTTACTGGCCTGGCTTCCACCCCCCGACAGGATAAAATATCTGATAGATGGAGTTATTTATTATTGCACAAACCGCAATTATGGCTACTCGGTGGCTTGTCATCCCGCAGATCTGGTAGCGTGCTCGAGGGACGAAAACCTCATGTGGTGGACAGGTACACCTTGTTACGTTGCACGATGGCGCGTTCGTGAACTCGCCACCACTCCAGTAGCACGTGTGTATCACCCATCGCCGGTGGTTCTGAGCTTGATCTTTAAGTCAGGAAAACCAAAAAAGAGCACCGTTGCTGTTTGTCTGTAGCTGGATTGGATTTGTTCTGGTTGTCACTTTTCTCACAACACCAAGAAATACAAGCGAATGACAGCTGCCCTACCGTTTATTTAAAAGAAATAATAAATAATAGTAAGACATTTATGCATCGGGTAGCCTGAGGGTACTGTGTGAGGCTCATGGTCAACGTCGACGCTCAAGGAGTTGCCACTTCCGTCTTAGTTGGGTCACACCACCCCAAGTCCACTGCATCATCCAAACATAGCACATACGTTCTTCCCTCTTGTCCTCTAGAGCGATCATATGCACAAGATGCTAATAGCTTATCATTTCCCGATTACAAGCAGTCACGACTAGCACTTAATGGCTGTTTTTTGCCACGCACCATTGTTTTCTGGAGATGATATTAGTTATTCGGTGACTGGTGATCCTTAATGTTACTTTCCAGCTAGGTTGACGTAGTGGACTTTAGTTAATCTGCGGTTCTTATCGACTATCTAGGAAGCTGTTGCCTGTCCAGTTTTACTTATCTACTGTTTTGCCTCACAATAACCCCTTTTTCTGCACAACAAAGACCCTATGCTATGATGCTTTGGTGAGCCAAAAAATACCGCCCTTTCTCAACTAGTCCAACAGCTAGCCCCCATGCTAGCTACATCGATCACAAAGTTCTCACCCTTCTAAAACTAGGCACTTACTCTGGCCCAACTAGTACTTGGGTTCTACATCAGCAAACGTATTCACCTTTCTTGGGTCCATTTAGCTTTCTGTCATCCCCTTTTAAATTTTTTCCCTATTGACGCCTCTGGATCGTATGTCTTCTAACACTCGCCACACGCTAACGCTTTCGTCCTATTTCTTTCCCGTTGCCCCTCTTCCCAAGCTTCAAACCTCGACTGCAGTTGCCCAAACGCCCCCTAGAACAGTCATTCATTCAAATTGGCTGGTACCCGGCCTACACTCATACGGTCCTCCAACGAAAGGGGGATCATCCATGAGCCTGCATCCACCTGACTCTCTGTGTCAATCTCCGTTTCACCTAGAACCAACTGCCACGGAACCGCGTACCCCTCTCCGATCGCAGCACTCCTGACGACCGTTATGGGGCTGTCCATAAACCGAAGCATGCCAGCGGGACGATGGCATGGCGTTGTCATACGCATTGAGATGTCATTCCCGCAACTATTTTCTCCAGAATCTGGACGGCAACCCCTCGTTCACTCAGGCCTGTATTCACAACTTCGAGCAAATTTTTCAACCGGTCCGGTCTCTGGGATGAGCTCTTCCGTACCCGATGAGTTTTCGCTGATATTGCCAGCCTGGTTTTTCTGCTGCAATTTCGCCTCGCCCCCTCCACGGATTCAATTCCGTATACGGTGTTTGGCTCGCCGGGTGCATTAGCAGCTTGCCCCCATCCAACCTATCCTGGACCTGATATCCTGACAACAGCCCAAACAGTGAGTCTGCTTAGCTTAAGAATAAACCACACTTTTGACACAAAACTCGCTAAGCGCTCCCAATTTTTATTATTCCATCTCCAGCTCACCTTTGCTCGTTGTGACTCCGGTCATTAACCAAACCGCCCAACATCACTCTTGGGCAGCAATGGTTTATCGTTTTAGTTCATGCCGCCTGGCTATCTTTGAACTAGTCGGACCCCATGCTCATTGTTTCCAACACGTTGAGAAAGAAACATATAGAGGAAAATGTTGGTAGCTCAGGTACCGTAGATGGTGGTCGCTGGCTTTTTCGCTGAGCTAGGCAGTTTGATTGCAAACGTTTCATCATCAGTCGAGGTGACATCATCAGTGCGTTATAGTGGAGCGTAGTAGTGAGTAGCGGTGGGTTGGTGGTTGTGCGTTGGGTAGTGTTGTGCGTGTGTTAATATACGTGCTGTTAGCGGGGGATGACCTTTGGTCGCGATTAGTTGTTCGGTAGGGTGATTCCATTGGTTGCTCCGTTGTCCTGTATCCCCATTCGCCGATGCCCACGTGACATTTGAGCTTGGCATCCCCTGCCGTCGTAATCTGGTCGACGCTAGATTGACCTTTGTCCTGATGATGTCACCTCGATTGGTGATGAAACGTTTGCAATCAAATTGCCCAGCTCAGCGAACAATCCAACGACCATCTACGATACATGAGCTGCCAACATTTTCCTCTATAGAAAACCAATTCGGGCGTACAATGCCGAAAGAAGCTCGTCGCTGGGAACACTTCGCCCGCCGACAAGCCTCTACGCGCGAACCATTTGACTTCCTCCATGAATGTCTACGTAGGAACGTGCTGCCACCCAGTACTAATCACAGACTTGCGCTAGACCATCCGCAGGCGTGAGCCTGTAATGGAGTAGGACCTAAGTATGCGTGTTCAATAAAATATACAATCAAAATATCAAATTAGAAACAACAAATGGCAATAAGAATTGGACAAGTGAATGGAACAGACTCACTAAATTGGGGGTCCAATAATCCCACTACACGAAATGTTGTGCAGTGATCGTATTCGGCGGCGAAGAATATATCCAGAGTAAGAAGGATATTCTCCACTGTTAGTTCGAGTGTTAGAATTAAATTCCGCGGTAGGAATTTATCACAGCTGAAAATTGTCACAAGGAGTTATCGTGACGTTCAACAGTTCACACGCAAACACAATAATCCAATCCCACGACTTCAGCAAACAGCAATCAGTTTAATCGGATGCAATTTCACTGACTCAGCAAAAAGCAGGGAATTCGCGCCAAGAAAAATGTGTATTTCACCATTTTCGATTTTAATGTAATTATTGGTACAATGAAACAAAATATCATGATACGTGTACAGTGTTTACAAACTGCAGTTCAAATTTATATGAAGAGAGTAGAAAATAAGGAAAATGTAACACTGATTTGCAAGATACCACAGTACTCCCCCTAGAGCGTTAGGAATGATAAGGGACTGACGCTCGATAGTGGTAAAAATGTTTTATGGGGTGTAGTCTGCAAAACGAACGGGAGTCTTGCTTGTACGACCAGTACGGGTGTGCTTCAGAATAGGCAACGGGTGTTCGTAGGCAGGCTGGGATACTGGGTCAGGTTTTTTTCGCGCCAAGAAAAATGTGTATTTCACCATTTTTGATTTTATTGTAATTACTGGTACAATAAAACAAAATGTCATGATACGTGTACAGTGTTTACAAACTGCAGTTCAAATTTATATGAAGAGAGTAGAAAATAAGGAAAATGTAACACTGATTTGCAAGATACCACAGTACTCCCCCTAGAGCGTTAGGAATGATAAGGGACTGACGCTCGATAGTGGTAAAAATGTTTTATGGGGTGTAGTCTGCAAAACGAACGGGAGTCTTGCTTGTACGACCAGTACGGGTGTGCTTCAGAATAGGCAACGGGTGTTCGTAGGCAGGCTGGGATACTGGGTCAGGTTTTTTTCGCGCCAAGAAAAATGTGTATTTCACCATTTTTGATTTTATTGTAATTACTGGTACAATAAAACAAAATGTCATGATACGTGTACAGTGTTTACAAACTGCAGTTCAAATTTATATGAAGAGAGTAGAAAATAAGGAAAATGTAACACTGATTTGCAAGATACCACAGTACTCCCCCTAGAGCGTTAGGAATGATAAGGGACTGACGCTCGATAGTGGTAAAAATGTTTTATGGGGTGTAGTCTGCAAAACGAACGGGAGTCTTGCTTGTACGACCAGTACGGGTGTGCTTCAGAATAGGCAACGGGTGTTCGTAGGCAGGCTGGGATACTGGGTCAGGTTTTTTTCGCGCCAAGAAAAATGTGTATTTCACCATTTTTGATTTTATTGTAATTACTGGTACAATAAAACAAAATGTCATGATACGTGTACAGTGTTTACAAATTACAATTCAAGTTTATATGAAGAGAGTAGAAAATGGGGATAATGTAACATTGATTTGCAAAACACCACAGGCCCTAGCAAGACACTATGGTTACAAATTAGCAAAACAGTTATGGAGAAGATTAAAATACTTAATCTGCGGATCGGAACACACAATCAATAATGCAGGTCAATTCCTACACAAACTACGGAACGTCAGTATAGAAGACGATGAAGTCATGCTTTCATTTGATGTCACATCGCTGTTCACTTCAATCAACCACAACCTCGCCAGGACAACCATAGCAGAACTGCTTCAGACTAAGCCCAACACGACAGGAACCATGAAACCTGAAAGTATAGGCAAACTGCTGGACTTTTGCATGGATACATACTTTACCTTCGATGGACAAATATATCAACAGCTGAAAGGAACTCCAATGGGATCTCCAATATCAGGATTTATTGCTGAGGCAGTAATGCAAAGATTAGAGCATGCGGTACTGCCGATCATCAATCCAAAACTTTGGATCCGCTACGTGGACGACACCTTTGTCATCATGAAACGGGATTCAGTGCACGAGGCACATGAACTGCTCAACACCACTTTTGAAGATATCAAGTTTACAATCGAACTGGAAAGAAACAATCGACTACAATTCTTAGACGTTCTAGTGAACAGAAAGATGGATGGGACTCTGGAAACCTGTGTATACCGGAAGGAGACCCATACAGATCAAATCCTGAACTACAACAGCAATCACCCAGTAAGCCACAAGAATAGCTGCGTTCAAACCTTGTTCAAGAGGGCGGAGACATACTGCAGCACCACAGAACTGCGGAAGAAGGAAGAAAACTATCCACTCGGGGTATTCCAGAGCAATGGATATCCAAGGAATTTTATCAAGAGAAGCTTGAAGAAGAAGACAATCCAACCACGGCAACAGCAATAACAAGCCACCGGACGGGTAGTCCTGCCTTACATCAAGAATATATCAGAACTCGCGACCAGATTATTGGCTCAAAAAGGAATATTTGTGGCCCACAAACCGAGTGTCACCCTGAGGAAATTAATCTCTAGACCGAAGGACAACTCGGACAAAACCAAGAAGAACAATGTGATATACCAACTCAACTGCAACAACTGCAACAAATTCTACGTCGGACAAACTGGCAAGAGACTATGCACACGAATAAAGGAACACAACGCGGCCGTCAGGAGGCATGACACCCTGTCCTTTATATCTATACACGAGGACCAAGAAGGCCACAAATTCAACTTGGAAAACGCAGAAATCTTGGCATACGGCGGCACGAGGTATGGAACAGAATTCATGGAAGCATGGTACTCCGCGGCGAATTCGATCAACCAGTGCATCGAACTGGACCCAATTTACGCACCCCTACGTGCAACAGACCAACAACTCAGCCGGAAAACTCAAGGAGGACCGAATATTGGATTCAGAAACAGCGGAACAAGGAACTCCTTGGAGGCAAGTCAATAAAGGTCACAACCCTGGACTGGAAAGGACAAAGGTCAATCTAGCATCGACCAGGGGACGGCAGGGACGGCATACGACGGCAGGGGGTGCCAAGCTCAAAGGTCACGTGGGCATCGGCGAATGGGGATACAGGACAACGGAGCAACCAATGGAATCACCCTACCGAACAACTAATCGCGACCAAAGGTCATCCCCCGCTAACAGCACGTATATTAACACACGCATAACACTACCCAACGCACAACCACCAACCCACCGCTACTCACTACTACGCTCCACTATAACGCACTGATGCTGTCACCTCGATTGATGATGAAACGTTTGCAGTCAAACTGCCTAGCTCAGCGAACAAGCCAACGACCACCGGAAAGAAACCCGTTACTACTATTTCATCGAATATTCCGAACTCTCTATGACATTATACTCATTTTGTGCATTCCGCACAACTACAAATCCCCAGTCATACTTCATTCTTGCTGTAAACATATGATCATGCCAGGCAGTATTCCACCCACAAGTTGGGAATAAACATTAGTATTATTATTATTGCAGCGGAAACTAAAAAACTCACCCATGACATGCTCCACTGTTTTCAAGTGGTTCAGCCAGTTTATTGGTGGATAGTTTTTGTTCTCTAGGCGGGCGTTGATCACAATGCAAAAACAAACCATCCCCGATCGTGCGCTCATCCCATTTAGGTTACTGTACAAACAGTGGGCCGTAAGGTGGGGGGAAATTGTGGACCTGTGTGGCTCAGAAGTTGCGGATCTTAGCGGAATTCGGGTACTAGCTTAACAGTGGATACTACTGATG